ACAAGAGGTCCTTCCCTTTTGCCATTGCTCCAATAGAACAACAAGACCTATACATATCTATGCTACAGAATTCATCCAAAAGTCAACAAAAAATTTAACAAAATCTGCAAGATAAAAACTAGTGCAACATCATAAATACTGTCAGAAGTGTCAGCTGTAAGTAGGTTTTGTTCTATCAAGATTTCTCTATGTATGAGAACAGTTCACCTAAAGATAACATGAATTAAAGATCTGCTATGTCTCGTCTTCATGGTCAGTAAATGAAAATCTTATCCCCCCTTTCAACTGATATCGCAGACTAGTTTTATTGTCCGCCTTGTCACACGCACCAGGGCAGACATGTCTTCAGGGTTGTACAACATAGTATCAGAATCAATGCTATATGAAGATACCAAGCTGAACATATTCAAGTAGACTGATTCTATTTTATTCTGTGCACCATTCTACCACTAGGAGACTAAATAGTCAATTAGCCGGCTTAATTAGTGCAGTTTAAACTTTCTTTACTTAGCAAAACTGTTGGTTTCACATAAATTTAAAGCTGTTTTATGGTAGCATTGTGGTCTGGATTTAGCTCCAAGAATTACTTCTTGAGAAACCATTACCTGCCTGTTGTATATGTGAATAGAGCACCTTTCAAAAATTTAGCATCCATGCCTTTATAAGTACAAAATTCCCCAAATATAATGAATTTTCTTACCTCTTTATTTAAATGGTGTCCAACTGAATCCGCCAAAGTTCCGATAGCATCGTACAATATTAATAGATTCTTATGCTGAAAAAATATCAACAAATTTCATAGAGTATGTGAAGGTTGAGCAGGTTTCCATAGTTTTTATAAAAGTAATGTCAAGCAGTGTGCAATGAGGGAAATGAGATCAGACAGTAGGAAGGTTGGTTTCATTTTAAATCAACAAGTTTAGGATGCTGATAGGTTGTCATCATTTCTCTTTGTCCATTCAACCTTTTTCCAATCAAACTAACAGGTACAATAAAGAAAGTAATCTCTGATAACTTACCTGATATTTGCCGAAAGCGTAGACCAGGGTCTCTAAGATAAAAGATAGATATGGTACTAGTTCGGTACAGGCCTCTTCCTCTAGGGTAGCGAACGCCGAGCACGCAGCCTCCTGGACTCTTTTATTACTGTCCAACACTCTCTTTAATAACTGAAATATAACAAAATAAAAACAGTCAAATTTTCAATTTAATCAAATTACTTTTTATAAAAAATTGGACTGCTTTAAGAGATTTTGATATTCTGTTTTTAAGATAAAATAGTAATCAGGAATTCCTAGAGAACTAAAGTTTTAATCTTAAATGATAGGCCTCAAATCAGCTACTCTTGTTGGTTCCCAAACATTTAACAACCAAGGGAGAGAACTGTAAATAAGACACAGCCGGAGAATATCATTTATCAGCAAATGACTTGATAATCCTAGCATCATATTTACAGTTTTTCCACGAAAATAAATTCTAAAAATTTGTATCTGCATAATCAAAACAGGCCTACAGTGATGATGCAAAGAAGACAACCAAATCTTGGCATTAGGATTTGAAAATGGGAAAGGGCATCTTGGAATTTGCAACTATTGGCGTGTAAATGAAGGAATTCCTTTTAAATGGAAGAGTCAGTCAGCCGGAGGTTGTCATTTATAAATTTAATGGTATCTAGCTTTTTTATCATCATCCTCTTCATTTTAACTCCTT